GGGAGGCATGGGTGCACCTCCGGCCGTCATGGGCGGAATGTCTTTTGATGTGCCTCCTCACACACATTCCCATGAAGATACCGTTGAAGATCTTGTCAACACCGTCGGAGCTTCACGTGATGCGGTGCGCGATGAGGAGAGAGAGAAAGATTCATCTTCGGAGGCAGAAGAATCGTCTTCCGAAGATGAGGACGAAGATGAGGACGAGGATTGATGTGTCTTTCATTTGTGTCTTGAACTTGGTTTGCATTTTAAACTTGGTTGGATGAACTTGTGGGCATGATTTTAAATTCGTGGTATGAACTTTTATTCATCAACTTGTTTGTGTGAAATTTTATATGTCATGTTCATTGCATTTTGAATGTTTCAAATTTATTTTGTGTTCAAATGCCATATATGCAATGCCCCGGCGAGTCGCGCGCGCTGCATTTTTTGCAAGCTGCTGAAGCGACGCGTGCGCCCTGCATTTTAGCGCGGCTGTTGGAGCCAGCACTGGTGGCCACGCAAAACCAGACAAACGGCGCACGGCAAACTAATTTTTAGCGCGCGGCGCGAAGCGCGGCTGTTGGAGATGCTCTTAGGCAACTAGAGACAGCCATCCCTCGTTGTATTGAAAAGGGAGGCAGCTCAAGATCATCATTTCATTTTTCAAAAAAGATAACCATTTACCGTTAAAAAGTACAAAACCAAAGAGGGCCAAACATAAATACTGATCAACCCGTTGTATTGAAAATAAAACGAGTTACATGTTTTTCTAACTCATCAATTTCCTCTTTCTCCGACTCACATATCACAGTGAGTTTCATGCGCCCACCAATAAACCCCGTCAGAAAAAGCTCGGGTTATGGAATTTGGTGTGAATGCCCAATCCATTATGCATCCATCGAATCTATGAATTTGGTGTGAATTTGGTGTGAATTTGGTGTGTAGTCATGTACTTGATCGGATATGTAAACACACCTTGCACCGATCGTGCATCCATCGAATCTATGAATTCTGGACAAACTCCATTGAACTACGTAGTAATTAATAGAGTAGTGAAAATTTGGCTCCTCTATCTGTGCTATACATGGTAAAATTTCACCATTCCTTTTGTCTAGTTGTGTCATATACTATTGAGTTTCATATGCCAACCAGTAGACTCCATTTCTGTTGCCAGATTCAGTGACCGCTACATAATCTGCTGGCTGATGTATTTTACCTCTGAATTTTGAGATGGCTCCATGGATTAATGGACTAGTGATTAGTAGTACGAGTAATAATTTTTGGTTGTAGCTAGAAGTTGAGGACGCTGGCGTAGTAGGGAGACAAGCAGAGGCCCTCCATCCAGGGGCTCCTCAGCTGCGTCAGGAACGGGTCCTGCATCCACTCCAGCCCAGCGCCGCCCTTGGCCGTCTCCAGCTGCGGCAGCCGCATCGCCGGCGGCCTCGCCACCGCCACGGCCTCCTCCTTCTTCACCCCGTGGTGGCCATGGTGCTGCACGACGGCGTTGACGGCCTCGTTGGCGACCTCCGACGCGGAGGAGACGTCGGGCGAGCCGGCGCTGCAGTGGGAGGCCGTGGTGGTGGGCGGGGAGGAGCGCGTGCGCGCGAGCTCCTCCATGGCGACCCGCTGCTCCAGCTCCTTGAGCGACACGGCCTTGCGGTACACCTTGCAGAGCACCACGTCCTGCTGCTCGCCGGCGCCGGCTCCGGCGAGGTCGGGCAGGCGGTACTCGTTCATGACCCAGTCTGTCTTGGTGCCCCGGGGCGCGCGGCCCTGGTAGTAGACGAGCGTCTTCTTGAGCCCGACGAGGCGCTTGGGATCGGCGGCGCAGCGCACGGCGCGGTCGGACCCCGTGGCCTTCCAGAACCCGCGCTCCGTGGTGCGGCTCGGGCGCCCGCCCCCGGCAACGCCGGACGCGTGCTTCCGGGCGCCGTCGCGGGGCACGAAGAAGTACCACTCGCGCTCGCTGGCGATGGCGGCCAGGCCCGGGAGGTCCCAGGGGTCGTGCCGGTACAGGTGCACCGTGGGGATGATGTCGAACGGCGCCCTGAGCTGCTGCTGCTTGTTGTTTCGGGTGACGTGGTGCTTGAGGTAGAACTCCAGCAGCTCCTCCTCCGTGGGGTGGAAGCGGAACCCCGGCAGCTCCAGCGACGGCGCCGCCGCTGCTCCTCGCCGCTCCATCTCGATCAGATCAGCTAGCTAGCTTGAGTAGATTCCAGACTGGTAAGCGGTGGTGTTGGTTGTTGGATGAATGTGTTGGGAGAGCAGAGGATGCTTGCCGCATATATAGGCCGGCGGCGAAGCTCAAGAGGGAAACTGTCCAAATTCCAAGTCTTCGCGCGACTTTTACTGGCCAAACTGCAGACAGTGAGTGAGTGTGAGTGTGTGTGTGGACTTGGAATTCTTAATTGGTAAGTAATTTGTGTTGATTAATTGACTGGGGATTAAATTTCGGATAGCTACAACTACAAGGTGTGAGTGTGATCTCTCTGTATGTGATTAGTTAACTGCCAACTTGGGTAATAGTGATTTGTTTAGTGGTGAAAAGCTAGGAATCAATGGTCTGCATCTACACTGTTGTGGATGTACCTTCTAGTACTTCCTGTGTGATCGCATCTCAAGTTGATGATGTATAAGGCTTTACAAAAGGGATTAATTAAGAAAGGAAATTGGTAGGAAGTTATGTTCGTGTGTAGTGGTTCCCTGTTAAAATCCACTAAGTTGTACTACATCATGAAGTTTCCCCTTGGCCAATCCAAGTTAGTGGGAGAATCATGATTGGTCAACCACTAGAGAGTAATCAGCAGAGTGAATTTTGACTTTGAATCAGAAATTTGCGGTATTTTTATTTTCGAACATTGCGCAACATTTTAGCTTCATAAGAAAAACTGACCACAAAAAGGCTAATGCATGGCAAGTTGTCATAGAAATATAGCAAAGATTGGGCTCAATGTCAATTTTCATTCCATGCAAAGTAGATCATAGGAATTGAATTTGTTTTTTTATCCTAGTACAAATCAAACAAGGTCTATGTATAGAAATAGATCTAAAGAATGTAATCCTCCAATATTCTTATTTTATTCACATTCACCCTTGATGGTGAGGATTTTCATTTTGAGAAACACACCACAAACGTATAAATCCACATACACGCACGCACAGTCACCCAATAAACACACGCATGTACACTCTCTCATGTGAGCACCTAGAGACTGAGCTAGCAGGCCCGCCACAAATGTCGTCAAAAAGCCTGGAATAAATTTAGGAAAATGCGACCACTCGTGTCAAGTCCAGGACCTAAACCCAGGTATGCACATTCCACCAAAAGGAACCTAGGCATCTCAGTTTGCTTAATGGTGATGATTAAAAGGATAAATAGAAAGGAAACTAAGTAGAAGGTATAGGTTGTGTTTTGCGTAGTGCTCCCCTGTTGATGCCCTCTATGCTAGCCTTTCAGGTGGATTATGGCATTATGCCAAAAAAGAAGGGGGTAGTCCTGTTCTTTTAACCAGTTCTTTTTGTCTATTTTCCTCCGGCTAGACAACCTGTGTTTCTGTGTGTTTGTGACTTATTTTTATACTGTAATAATGAAACAAGTTTCGCAGCCCCCCTGACAGCAACCATCATAAGTTTGTGATTAATTATGGAAAATAGGTATGTGTACGGAGCAGCATCACTTAACAGGGTTTTGCAGGAGCCGCCTTGACAGCTCAAGGTCGTGGAAGAATCTAGAAATCAATCAAGCGTTGCAGAATACTTAAATTTGCCTGCTATGTTTGTAATTAAATAATAGACAGTTTTGCTAAAGCACATCTAAGTCATATGTCATTGATCTTATATTGAGATTCGTGTGAATATATTGTTTTCTCTTTTTTTTTTCTCTTTTATACTTGATTCACTCATTTAGATGTGCAATAACTATAGCTCATCTAGATGTGCCCTAGACACACCCTTCATATAGTCACCATTCCAAATAAAAATCAGGTGAGTGTGTGATTGGATAATTAGAAGATTTAGCGCAGCTAACCCGATTGGGCTAACGTCGCTCTCAAGAGGCATGAGGGGCCACTTGCAAAATACTTATATAGGAGTAGTATATTCTGAGAAGCCACTCTTGACCGTAGGTCAATCCTTTCGCAGCCATACTTCTTTTATGAAAAGGATGCGGCTAAGCAAAGATAAATAAGCAGAGATCCATCCATGCGTTCAAATCCAGATGATTGGTCCAGCAGGCAAAGTGAGCAGTGAAGGTGAAGCATTGCCTCGGTCGTAGGTAAGCTCCACTGACACTGACGCATTTTGAAACGGTAAAAAGGTACTCCCTCCGTTCCGAATTACTTGTCTTAGATTTGTCTAGATGCGGAGGTATCTAGCACTAAATAGATCGTCATGGTTCACAGCCTCAGCAATGGAGTGCTGGAGTAGGCACAAAAAAGCTCACCAAGATTTTCAGCAGGTCGTTGGTGCGTGCATGTCCACCAGCGGCGAGCGGCCGTGACTTTCCACAGCAAATTCCAAAAGGGGGTGACACACCGCACCACATATCCCCAAATATCCTTTTCCGTCCGTCCCTCCGGCCGTCGGTGTCGCTGAACGCAGAAAACCGTGTTGAATTGTTCCAAAGCCTTGAACTTCTTTCCTCCTCTTTTTCCCCTGTGTTGACGAGCAGGAAATTCAAGGTGGAAAATCATTACACAAAGACTAATACTAAAACAAAATAAAATAACATAAATTATACCGTAATAATAATGGTTTTGATGAAAGTGGTTCCACCTTTTTAGGTGCATCGCATTTGCATTTGGCTTTGGGCAACTATCCCTGGCCAAATGTAGTGCTCCATGTTGGTTGACACCATATAGAGGAAAAAAGGGTAAAGGAAGAAGTTGCCTTCGACTTCAACGTCGTCTTGTGCCTCTTCGCAGGAAGCAACCTTGGAACCCTCCCAGAAAACGGCTCGAAAAGAAATTCTCTCCTACAAAAAGTGAAGCGATTAGGCTGCTGAAATGCACATTATTTTTTGTGCTGCAGAATAAAACATGTAGGGACTAGTGTGTGTGTTTCACTGTCACAACCCACAGCCATAGACTGGAGACTGGACTGCCTGCTGCTGAAAATCAAGAAAGGGACGCCATGCAGCAGCATGCACACCAGCAAGCACCCATCCGTCCATCCAATCCACGTCGCGTAGAATCTAGACCGTTTCTCCTGCCATCCGGCCCAGGCCGCTGTCGATCTCATCTCGGCCGGTCAAGTCCATGCCTGTGTCGCCTCTGTTCATGCCAAAAACGCAGTGCAGCCACTCACCTGGCACCACGGCCGCAAAAGGAGCAGAGGAAGAAGATGGCCATGGCAGCTTGCGGTACTTTGAAACGGTCCAAGTCTTGGGCGATGCGCACTTCTCATGCCCACCGTGGCCTCGATGGTCAGTGCCGTGAGCGATGATGACGACAATGGTCGCCTTTTGGTTGTGGAGGATCCAACACCTGGAACAAGTTAGTGATGGGTTTCTTTCAACCGGAGAATTTTGGGACATGATAAGATGGCTTACCTTTGTGTGCCACCATGACGCCTTGTCTCAGGAAAGGAAACAAGGACTGAAGCTTCCCCAGCACTGCAGTTATTAGCACAAAAAGATATGTACAATCTAGGCTTTCTTGGCCCTGCAGTTATTAGCAAAAGAAGATACAATCCAGGCTTATAGCAATATGCATCAATTATCATGTAACTATGTAAGGCAAAAAGAAATTGCAAACAGACAACTGTTTTTATTCTGGGCTGAAAGCCCGAAACTTCCTTTATGACAGAGGACTCGGGATGGCGCATATTTGGCAATAGCCGGACTCGACCCGCACCATCACCTCTTATTTATCTTTCTATATAGTAGGTAACCTCAGCAAAGTCCAAGCCAGAATCTCAAGTCTGCACAGTTTGACAGTATTGCTACTACTAGCAATAGCAGGAATATTACAAGGACGTCGGTACACGGTTCTGATCAAGCGTTGATATGGTGCTTATTTGTTATCTTTGTCAGGTGACCCGAAGACAAAGTTAATTCCCTTCTTGCTGGAGTCACCTCCTGTAGACGCCTTTTTGGAACCAGAAGTCGCCTCACCATCTGCTGCGTCTTTGACACGAGTGGCTTCAACATCGATGTACCCAGGAGCAGCTTTGCCCCAAGAAGCAGCTCCTTCATCCTTAGGCTTTTCCGCTTTTTCCTCGACGCGATAGTAAGCCTGGCAAGAGAGCATTTTGTGAGGTTGTGCTGCGGTTTTTTGTTGCTGTTAATTATTTATTACTAAACCCTCTCAGTAATTAGCATTACCACACAAGTGCGGGGTGGAGACAGGACTTTGAATGAATTAGGGCGGTTGTTGAAGTTTGTTTCAGGTACTCCTGGTACTCCTTCAGGTGACGTGAAGTGATCGTTGTCATGGGCCACCTGCGATGCAGCACAGATCAACACTGCAAATAAGATTATCTGATGCAACCTTGATGGCCCCTTCTATAGAAGAATATAGGTGTGCAAAACAGATCTTGAACAATATTAACATTGCTTACTCTTCCATGTCCACCAAACATCAGAGCATCGGAGTCCAGAGCTACCTTGTACTTCCCAGGCAAATCACATCCGACTTTGTAACTGCGTATTTTTAAAGTGGAAACGATTAAGCACATTATACATTATAAGCAGAAGAAATATTGAAAGGCAAAGCTTGCACAAGAGATCAGTTACCCATCATAAGTTTTACTGGGATGAAAATTGAAGACGAAGACCAGATCTCCACGTTCAAATACAATAATCTGGAAAGGAAGTTGGATTGAGTCCATAGGCCATTTTGAGACAACAGTTGTTCATATCAAAAAGATACGGTTTCAACTTGTTTGGTAACATAAAACGCACAAGTCAGAGTTGCTATTCTTAAGAGTAGGAGTGAATCAAATGATGCAACAACTGCCCTGACTAAACATTGTATAGTTAACTACCTTCTTTTCCTCATTCATGTCGCTGACAATCTGCTTTGATGACGATAGGAAGGAAAACTTGTCGTCGAGCGCATTCATTGCTTGATCAAATGCGTTCATGTACTGCTCAAATTATATATGTTAGGCGAGAAATAAAAAATGCTTGAATGCAGAAAAGCTGGATAAAATATGAGAAAATTCGTGAAAGGCTATTATTATTTATCATATGCAGAGAAAAATAACTTCCTGTTAACAAAAGAACACAGCCTTCAAATAAAATTTGGGAAAATGCAACGTCAATTTCTATATGGATAATGTATGTACTGCATATCAATAATGTGTAAGAATCAATAAAATTAGTAGGTTAACACAGGCAAGATTTGGTCATCGTACTGACCAACAACTAGTAGATCAGCAATTTAGTTTAGTTTGAAAGGCTTAATATGAAATGTTAGAAGGGAGAATTTATCCCAACACAGAAGTTGGAACACAGTGTAAATAAGCTACAGTCAGAGATGAAGGAACTAAGTGAGGTCAAGATCCCAAGAGAGCTACCAGACCAGAAACTGTAAGAATGTACATAGGCATTACCTTGTATCGTAGGTGATCAATGTCTGAGAGGCTCCACTGGCGTCTGCATTTATCATAACTCCAGTTGTTGCCTTCTCTTGGAAAGTCAATCCATTCTGGGTGGCCAAACTAAAAGGAAATTGCACCATCAGTACGAGTTAGAAAACAGATATAAAACATGAGTAGGTTAAGAAAGACATGCCAACATCTCTATCATGTTTGCATCATTTACGGAGAAACATTGGTATAAAATAAAATCTTTTAAACAGGGAATATTCGTAAGTGTGTGATGTCGGCATATATGTAACTGGAATAAGAGGATCCAACAATAGACTGCCACGCTAAAAAACAACAATGATTAGAATAAAGATTAACTACCGGCACAGCTAAATCATATGTGATAACATGGAAATAGCTGGGGAGTACTTGGCTATCTTAGAAAACAGACGTTTATACTTTTCGCCCTGCCCAAAGGATTTTTTTTAAGGAATCCTGAAACATATTGATCAGAAATAAGTTTTGACAGATAACCAGATATTACCTCATTACCCATAAAATTCAAGTAGCCATCACCTCCAAGGGCCATGGTGATGAAGTGAATCATCTGAAATATTTGTAACAAAATAAGCCCAATGTACCAAAAGGGACTGGAATACATTGTCTTCAAAGGCTAAGCAGAACTCTGAGTAACAACCAACATTACAATACTCGCCTGGAACTAGAACATCAAATTCAGGAATACTTAAAACGAATCAAACCTTTTGAAGTGCAATTCCACGATCAATTGTAGGTGAAGCAGGCTGCAAGTCTGACATGCCAGTATACATTTCCTTGTCCATCAAGAGAAATGCCATAGTCTTGTCGCCAACAATAGACTGAAAATTTGCGTGAAAAATAACTGCTTAGTTGTTTCAATAGACGAACACAAAGTCAACAATATATAACTGCAGATCTTCGGACATTCTTACATAGTTCATAATAGCTGGTTAGTGGGTACTATCACTAGTTATCAGAATATAACTAACCTAATTCGAACTTGTGAAGTAACTAAAAGTCATCAAGCGAAGTGTTTATTCTCAAATTTGTCTACCAGGCAAAGAAAGTGTCTCACCTTTGAACTGTATGTTCTTAGTCCAGAGCCCCATAAAAAAAGAACACATACTCATGCACAGCGACAAAGGAGGGAAAACATACCTGATCGTGGCTCTCAGCATATGCAATGCACTTTTCCGTATATCTCCTGTTGGTCAGAGTATGTGCTATTGCACTCATTGACCATTCAAGGTCATCTTTGTTCTTCAAGTAGTCAATCCATCTATCAGGAATAGCCATAGCAAGGCGATAGTCAAACCCTACTCCACCTTCATCAACTGACCGACAAAGCACTGGCATGCCTGAAACATCTTCTGCAACAACAGTTGCTTCTGGCAAGATTTTGTGCATTAAATGGTTCGCAAGCATCATGTAAACAACTGCATCTACATCGGTATCCAAACCAAAATATTCCTTGTAATTTCCAGCGAATGACATATTGATACCATGGTGATTATATAGCATGGATGTTACTCCATCAAATCGGAAGCCGTCAAACATGAATTCGTCCATCCAATATCTCAGATTAGAAAGAAGATACCGTAAGACCTCCCAATTGGCATAGTTGAACAGGCGACTATCCCACAGTTTATGATAACCCCTTTCTCCTGTATGGAAATAGGACTCCTGTGTGTTTTGTCCAACATCATAGCCATTTAGACCATCTGTCATATTACTGCTCGCATGGCTATGGACAACATCCATCAGAACACGCAACCCTAAGCTATGTGCCTTGTCAACAAGATATTTGAGGTCCTCTGGTGTTCCTGATCTGCTGCTAACTGCGAAGAAATTCGTCACATGGTATCCAAAAGAAGCATAATATGAATGTTCCATGATTGCCATCAGCTGAACTGTGTTGTAGTTGTTTGCCTTTATGCGCGGTAACACATTGTCTGCAAATTCTCTGTATGTGCTTACTTCAGGCTTTTCACCACTCATCCCCACATGAGCCTCGTAAATACGTGGAGCGTCAGGCTTTCGAGGCCGAGGATGCTTAAACACATACCTGCAAAACGAGCAATGAAAGTATCATGTCTCCACATTAATTTAAGTTAATTGTGTGGGTTTTACTTAGATTTCTTGCTCTCAAGCCAGTAAAAGTAGACCTTTCACCAGTTGGTGGATCCCAGTGAACACCGTCATATGGAGCTCCAAATTTAGAGGCATCAAAAGTTGCATAACGAATCCATGCAGGAACCCGATCGACCCATAGTCCATCTCCACGGTGAAATCGAAATTTAACCTTGGAATTATGGGGGATGGCAGGTTTCCCATTGACATGGGAAATCCTGATTGACCAAACACCAAAATTATCCTTTGTCATCCTGTGCCCAGAGCCATTCCAGTTGTTGAAGTCACCAATAAGTTGTGCATCCCTACATCCATAAAGCAAAGACTTGCAAGTAAATGCCTGAATCAGCTAAAGATAGTTAGAAGCAAGTATTGCCATAAAAGAAATGAATACCAACAAACTATGACCACAATCAGAAAAGGGGAAAACATATTTCATATTTTCTTTCTAGCACATCATGATCTACCTGTCATGCTTAACTTAACAGCAGAGGTCATGCCGTGAATGAAAACTTGAAACAGCTATCTACTCTTTACTAGCCACAACCAGAAAAGACAAGACATCTTCACTGGAAACAAAAATGGAAAATACTCAAACTCTTAAGACAGTTTCATCAGCACTTCATAGGTTAACCAATGACCATTACAATCAGCTGTGTGACATCATTAGAACTTACTTTGCTGCAGGGGCCCATTCCCGGTACACAGTTGCGTCATTTTCTGTGTTGATCCCAAACTTCAAGTAGCCTACAAAACAGAGTTACATTATGCCCTTTTGTGCTGCGGACGCCACGAAACGAGTAGTATTGTTTCGAACGCATGAACGAAAGCTGACCTTTAGAGAACTCTTCAAGGCCCCCCTCGTATTTCTCGATCGAATGTTTCTGTTCAAGATACTTTTTCATCCTGTAACTGAAGTGGTCCTTGAAGCCGGCGAACTTGGGATCCAGATCGTATATCGGAAGGTCGCCGAAGCCATCTTCAGCTGTTGCCATGGTGTAGTCTCTTGGCGCAGACACGGGAACAGAGAACTTGCTCTTGGCCTTCCAAAAATGAACGACAGTTAGAGCGAGCGGCAGATTTACAACAACTAAAGAAGTAATGGAGATACAGCACATGAACATTTGCCTATATCAATTAAATATATTTGTCACAATGCAGCAACTAATTTGGTTGATATATTCATCACAGATTATTGGTTGATAGATTCAGCAAAGATTATACGCATTTGGGTTGTGCAGAAAGTAATACGGTTGAGATACCGCAGGAGGGGATATTGTGCGTACGGATCGCGTAAAGGCAGAGAAATTCAATCGAAATCGCATCCACTTGTTCCTCAGTGGACGGCGTCAGGTGGACGAATCCCAGCCTCAGGTTTATTAGTAGTATATATACTACAGTATTTCCAATAACCAGCGTGGATCAGATTCAGTTTGCCCGGCGACAACAGGGGATCAGGGTCGCAAATCTGGGTAGACAGGGGAGAGGGCTCACCTTCCGCGGCCACGACCAGCGAAGCGAAGACGGCGCGGGCACCGCGCTCAGCCGCACATTGCCGCCGCCCTGCGCGCGCGCGGCATCGCATCAGGGAACCTCCGGCTGGCAGAACGGAGGCCGGAAACGAAAGAAAAGAAAAGAAATGAAGATCCCGAGTGACTCACCGAGATCCCCGGTCCGGGCCGGTCAGCAGCGGGACGGGAGGGGCGCGGCGGGAGAGAGGGCGAGGGCGAGGGCGAGGAGGAGGCGGTGAGGCAGAGCATCTTCGTCGATGGCGGCGGATGGGGATCCCATTGTCCGCGGGGCCCGTGGCCCGGCGCGCTTTATAGCGGCCGGAGGGAGGAGGAGGAGGAGTGTGGCGCCGGAGACGCAACGGAAAGGCGTGATTTTTTCCGGTCCGTGGCCGCTTTGGACAGGGGAGGAGAACAGTGGAGTGGAAGCAACGAGAGGGAGGGAGGGGGAAACGGGGGCGAGGGAGAAGCGGATCTGTGGGCCCGGGCGGGCCGGGGTCGTGCGCCGCTGGGCCGGACGGAAGCCATGGGCCCTCACGTGTCTCGCCACTTTCAGCCTTCGTCACTTCTTTTTTCCAGCCTTCGTCGTCGGTTTTGCCAAAAAGTGTAAGATGTTTTTTTTTGCTCTAAAAAGGAACATCCCAATCGCTAAAAATGCATTGCTTTCACAAAAGAAACTATGGAAGGACTGCTTTTTCTAAAGAAGGAAAACTATAGTATTCGCAAAAAAAAGGAAGGAAAACTATATAAAAATATCACTCCTTGCATTGTCCGGCAAAAATAATTACTTTTTGCGAAGACTAGAAGGACATGTGAGACGCCTATGGTATGGTATGGCTGGTTGGAGCTTGTCGGCGTGGGAAAACCAAACGAGATTTTGTAGGGCCTGCCTATTCGCTAGGTCGCTGGAAAAAAAATGGTGTACAATGTTTCGCCGGCTACTGCTCTTCTTTCTCCCTTAGTTCTTCTACCCTCTCCCTACTTTGCCAACGTGTTGTCTCACGCATCTCGCAACCCCCTCACTTCTCTCGTGTCAACCACAATGTCCCCGTCTACGGCGAGGTCTCTCTAGGGGCGCCATGCTCGTCCCCATCTCAGCCTCGGAGCTTCACGCTACCTGACTCTCTTTCTTTGAGTTGGAAACCGGCTAACATTACTTTTGTTTTGAGGCAACCGCCAAAATAGCAGACGTGGTTTCATATGGTGCAAGATTATAGCATGTGGTTGGGCTAGATCGGAGTTTTATCATATACCTTCCTCAAAAAAAATAAGAACGGGCGTTCAAATTTGAAGTGGTTGCATTGGTCGTATCTATATATTCAGAACTATATCCCATATTGGTATGTTTCGATTAAATTATTTTACCGTGTAAACATACTTCTCACGTTAGTGTTTACACTTTCTATGTTTGTGTGTGCATTTCCATATTAGTACTAGGAAAGGATGAAATTCGAAGAAAACAAGAAAAAAAAAGGGGAATGAAAAAAGGATATATAAATCTGGAACAACCAAGAGAGAGAGAGAGAGAGAAAACCAATAGTCCAACTACCATCGCTCCCGCGAATCAACCAACGGTTGGATGGTTAGAAGGACTGTGGTATCCCTAGCCCACCAGGGTTCAAGTCCCGGTGCTCGCCTTTAGTGCTCATAGGGATACGGTGTGCGTATGTGCATTCATAGATGTGAGTGTATGCGTGTGTATATGAGTGCTTGCGTATGTACTATGTTAAAAAAACTACATGGGACAACCCTGCACGACAAGTGGAAGACGCAAAAAGCGGCCTTAGAGCAACTCTAGTAGAGTCATCATATTTCCGGTCACCATAGCTGTGGCGATTGTGCACAACCACGTAGTCTCTATATGCGCCTCCATATTTGTAGTTTTATTTGTTCCTTTTTTCATTTGCTTCAAATTTGTATGTTAAGTTTAAGGTACATTTAGTTGAACCAAACCAGCTCGAACCATCATCAAACATGATAACCTTATATTACTGGCCAAAAGCTGTTGTATTACATTTTTTGCGACTTCAAATGTCGTTGAGTGACATTTTTGGGATGTCGCTATTCGACATTCCTATGTTCTACTATTTGTTGTACTATTGCCTCCGACGTCCTCTAGCCCCCCTCCTCCGAGAGATTGTTGAGGAAGAGGTGGAGGCAAGCTCCCGCGACTCCTTCTCGTCGATGGTTGCAGGGCAGAACTCCCAACTGATGCGCTCCTAGTTGCGAGCTTCGAGGGTGGAGAGCCGCATCAGGACGTCGATCGGGTCGTCGACCTCCGACTAGTGGGGAGACAGGCCAGCAGTGTCGATGGGGACGACCTTGTTGACGGGTATGATGGCGCCTGAGGCGCCATATCAACGCTGCACGCCGCCATGGGAGCCGATAAGTCAGCCACGAGAGAAGGAAGCGCCACACACGCCATTGTGGGAGGAGGGATCGCCTACTGCCATTGGGGGGAGGGCGCACCGCCGGTGCACTACAATTGGATGTGATGGCATTGTGGTGAAGAGGGGAGGACATGACTAGGAGGAGACAATGAGGAAGGAGGAGACGACAGCTAGGGTTTCAATGATGCCATCGAGCTTTTGTAGTCGGGGGTGATGCCATGTGACGGCCATCTGAACTACTTCCTCATGATTCTGAGGGGAGTGGGTGCGCCACTAATGGGAGGGTGCTTAGCCGTCGTGTCGCCCCACTCTCTGGTGATTATCTGATCGTTGTAGAGCATGTACATGTGGCGCTCTGTGTAATATCCCGTCAGCGGCGCAAGGAGGAAGAAGCTAAGACTTCCCTTATGCGCTTGTGGTTGGATATGGAGTGAGCGCCAAACGAGGCATCCATAGCCTCCATATTGGGAGGCTATATAAAAGCTTATTTGTGGAGCATATGTCGACTCTGCTAAAGTGCCATTTCGGGCCAAAAGTGCCATGTGTGCATTATGGCGATTGGGTCGATATAGCAACTTTTCTAGAGTTGCTCTTACTAGCCTTAGCTTAACCTTGTGTGGAATTACCTTCCCCGAGTCATTACAAAAGACAAGAAGGATAGACACAATATTTTGCAACACAGAGATACATGGTTTATAGAATAAACATGAGAGAGTGCATGGTCATGCATGATGACATCTTTTGTTTGTAAATCTATGTTTGATTAACTTTTAGCTTAAATGGAAGTAATTCTTTACGATTGCAGTAAAAAAAATCATTTTTAAGTTAATGTTGTGAGAATATATCTTCCTATCAGCCCCACATAGTCCTATATGGCATATATGAGGCAAATTGTCAAAGTCAAGTCAAGTAAACTAAAGTCCAAGCAACGAATCATGGTTAATAAGTCCAAGAAGAAATCAGGTAAGAGGAAAAAAATCATAGGATGAAGAACTAATAGAAATAAACTTGTTAGGTGGTGGGGAGGGGTAAATATTTGGGCTAGTCCACCATGTATCATGCACCACCCTCCCTCTCCTCCCTACTCTAACATGTACTATGTTGAATACCAACAACCTTTATGCCCCCCCCCCCACCACCACCACCACAAATTGGTATTTAAGCATTCACTCTCACTTGAATAAAATGCAAGAAAATAGACATCCAGGGAATCCAATGAAAGGCTTAGAGAAAGGACTCGAATTTGAGAGACCTAGAAGGGTAGGTGCTGAGGACATGGGAAGCGAAGGTTCGAAGCGACATTTGTTAAGTGGGTCTAGCCATTAGTTGAATCACTTCACTCTTCAGGAGAAGGGAAGTCTCAAGGAGGCATTTCCTTAATCATACCTACTTGCTAGCTAAGGCGCTTCTGTTGGAAATATGCCCTAGAGGCAATAATAAATTAGTTATATTATATTTCCTTGTTCATGATAATCGTTTATTATCCATGCTAGAATTGTATTGATAGGAAACTCAGATACATGTGTGGATACATAGACAACACCATGTCCCTAGTAAGCCTCTAGTTGACTAGCTCGTTGATCAATTGATGGTTACGGTTTCCTGACCATGGACATTGGATGTCATTGATAACGGGATCACATCATTAGGAGAATGATGTGATGGACAAGACCCAATCCTAAGCCTAGCACAAAGATCGTGTAGTTCGTATGCTAAAGCTTTTCTAATGTCAAGTATCATTTCCTTAGACCATGAGATTGTGCAACTCCCGGATACCGTAGGAATACTTTGGGTGTGCCAAACGTCACAACGTAACTGGGTGGCTATAAAGGTACACTACAGGTATCTCCGAAAGTGTCTGTTGGGTTGGCATGAATCGAGACTGGGATTTGTCACTCCGTGTGACGGAGAGGTATCTCTGGGCCCACTCGGTAGGACATCATCATAATGTGCACAATGTGATCAAGGAGTTGATCACGGGATGATGTGTTACGGAATGAGTAAAAGAGACTTGCCGGTAACGAGATTGAACAAGGTATCGGGATACCGACGATCGAATCTCGGGCAAGTACAATACCGATAGACAAAGGGAATTGTATACGGGATTGATCGAATCCTCGACATCGTGGTTCATCCGATGAGATCATCGTGGAACATGTGGGAACCAACATGGGTATCCAGATCCCGCTGTTGGTTATTGACCGGAGAATGTCTCGGTCATGTCTGCATGGTTCCCGAACCCGTAGGGTCTACACACTTAAGGTTCGATGACGCTAGGGTTATAAAGGAAGTTTGTATGTGGTTACCGAATGTTGTTCGGAGTCCCGGATGAGATCCCGGACGTCACGAGGAGTTCCGGAATGGTCCGGAGGTAAAGATTTATATATGGGAAGTCCTGTTTTGGTCACCGGAAAAGTTTCGGGTTTTTTCGGTAACGTACCGGGACCACCGGGAGGGTCCCGGAGGTCCACCAAGTGGGGCCACCAGCCCCGAAGGCTTGCATGGGCCAAGAGTGGTAAGGGACCAGCCCCTGAGTGGGCTGGTGCGCCTCCCACAAGGCCCAGGGCGCAGCTAGGAGGAGAAGGGGGAAACCCTAGGCTCAGATGGG